TTCTAGGAGATATCTGATCCTCAGAGCCCCTCTTGTTTTACAATGCAGTTCTAATCATGTTAGGAAAAGCAGCAACCATGATGGAGTAGGTCAAACCCTCAAGATATTGAGCTGCCCGGCTCCACGTAGGGGCTCACCAGGTGTGTGTTCAGGCTCACTTCACAGAGGTCGTTAGTTGAATCTTGACTACCCCAAATAGTCCAAGAAGTGGTTTAGTTCCTGAATCTCCTTAAAGCTTCTGAACTTGTCATATGTGTTTTGGACTTGTTAATAAGGTCCTGTGTTTTCATTCGGTGAAATGTTTACTATTGCTGAAGATGGGACTGCTAGTGCCTTATCAGTTGAATTTGTATGTCAGGGTGTGTGTGTATTTTTAATACAGCTGCTTTTGTAGATTGGACTTGATCCAAAGACACTGTCCAACATGGGCCCCTTGTGTCGAGGGTTGACATTTGGGAGAAATCAGAGCAAAGGCAACTAGCAGACACAGCAGCTTGTCTCCTGATCTGGGACTCCAGTGCAATTAGCATACTCGGCTCTGCCTCACAGTTTCCTTTATTGCTGAAATGTCTGGGAACCAGGTATTAGTACAAAGATTAATACATGGTACATCCTCCCTCAGCCTTTGTTAATTTTTATTCTTTTCAGGCAAAATCTTTATCTTTAGCTGTAGTTCCTTAAAGAGGAAGCAAAGTCTCTAAAACAGCCTTTCAAGTTTCATTGCAAAGCTACACGCATATATTGACACCTCTGGGAAGAGTTTGCTCCATTCCATTTCCAGAGCACAATCAATGCATTATTTAGGAACCACCTTTTACTTGAACCAGGTAGCTTGTCAGCTGTGATTGATTGACTAGTTTGTCTTATCTACTGTAGGGGTTTTGTTGTTGATTTCAAGAAAACGTACAGGTACTTGTTTCCAGGAAAAGTTGATTTTAAATGGAATATCTTAGACTTTTTCCCTCACAGAAAGATTGGAGGTATTGTTTTATCACTATCATGTCCGCTTTCAGTTAAGAAATGTCTGTTTCCTGTTCCTTAGTGTCTTTTTGACACTATGGACCTTTTTTAGAAAGAAGTCCTTTGGATGAGTAGTTAATAGGAGTAACATTTTCAAATAGGCAAAAGACTGAAAAAAAGTCTTCTTCCATCTTTTTTAATGTTAAAGAGTAAACATCCTGCATTCTATATGATTCCTTTTCCCTATGGATCATTCTTATATTGAGCAATGTCTAAGGCTTCTAAAATCCTGTTTTCTCAGGTTTCTTCTTCAAATCTGGGGAAGACTTGGTTGGCTCCTTTCAGACCTCTTCCATTGATGCTTATCTTTCCTGACTTTATTTCCTAATGGCCAAGCTTCAGGGCTCACCTCGCCTGCATTTCATCTGCTTGCTTGACATGACTGCAGAGAAGTCCTTCTTCCCTTTATGGCCACAATCTGAAAAAGAAAACAAACAGCTGAAGCTCTCCTTGCAGCCCAGCAGGCTGGGGAAAATAGTTCTCATTCTCCTTGTTCCTGGGTTCAAAGTGCACTTAACATTTTACGGGGGTGACCAGCCCTCCCAAGGTGCTGGTTTGAGTGGGCCTGTGTTTTAGCCGGGTGGACAATTAACCATGCTGACCTCCTCCTTTTTGCCATTGCCTTTCTGGCTGAGTTGATGCCAATACTCTGAGTGAGAAGGGGCTGCTGCTCCTTTGAGTGGAGCACCAGGGAGGGGTGGGGAAACATCTGATCTTGTTCAAAGGGGATGTCTCTGAAGCATGAAGATTGAACTGATTGTGACCCCACCCTGGGGGAAGGAGACATTCTCTCTGGAGAACAGGCCAGGAGGAAGAAGCCGGCAATTACTAATCCCATTGGCCTGTGGGCCTTCAGGGTCTCATATCCGTTTAAAAGAGAGAGAATTGGGGCTGAAGGTAATAAAGTAGGCCTTAAATTAGAGGAGCAGGGGGTCATTTTATCTAATTTTGTGGTTGTTACTGAGGAATAAAAGGCAGAGGAGATAATTTCATTAGCCCTTTTGAGATCTTTATCACAGCAAGATGGCATTTTGGGATCAGCAGAGCCACACAGGGCCTGTCCACGTCTCTCCTGGTAAAACGAGAGCTCGATTTCCAGTGTGCCAAGGGAGGGGCCAGGAGGCACAGTAACCCTTCAGGGCACTGTGGTCAGGAACAGATGGTATCTCCTGCCACAGTGAGAGGTTAGTGGCTACAAGTTCTGATGAAGGACTTGGCCAGCTACTCAGGAACACGGCATTCCATCTGAAAATGAAGAAATCCACCAGAGAAATGAGCTCCTGCAGAGTTGGGACTTTGTCTTTTACTTCTGAGGAAGGCTTGTGGGTCCTCTGCTGTTGACTTGATTTATTTGGAGCGTAGTGGTCATCAGACAAATTCCTTTGAGCTGAGCATTATTCGAGTGTCAAACCACGTGGTAGAGAGTTAGCAGAGAGTCACAGCTGTGCCTTCTGTCAGATGAATGCAGTTCTGTTCAGAG